TAAGCAAAATCCTGAATTAAGTGTTTTGACTTGTGAAATGAAGATTGATGTTAAGTTGCTCTCTTTTTTATTGTTGTAAATTTTTGTTAATTTTGTTTCTTGATTGCATGTTTATTATTGAAAGCAGAATGACATTCCAATTTGGGATCTATTAGAAACCAACTTTTAGTTTTATCCAATGAATGTCAATTTGTTTAAAAAATTAAACCAAGCATGATTTACCAATTTATTAGCAATAAAAGACTTCTACGAGTTGTTTCGATTGTAGTGGGTCTTCTAATGCCAAAAGTAAGGAGTTGTTTTAGGACCAATTAGGAGTATCGATACTTCCGTTGTGCTTGTCTTACGCTTAGGTTGTTTAATTGGAGTAGATGATGTGTTTGGGTTTCAAATGTTTATGCAATTATTTGTAACTTAGTAACATTGTACATCATTTGCTAGCATTGTTGAGGTTTACCAAAGAATGTGATTTGGGTCACAACAAAGTATTTTATTATTGGTGTTTAGATGATATCATTAAATAAATGGGGGTAATACAACACACACCATAAAGAATTGATAAATATTTTTTCTCCCTTTATATGAATCACTCCCAAGTATATTATTAATTGTTCAATAACTAGAGTAATATGATTGTTTATAATCTCAAATTAAAAATTAACATTCTTTTTGCCCATATCTTAGATAAATTTTTAAATAAAAAAAATTCCTATGATTTTTATTTCAATTTATGGTTTAAGTGTTACAAACAAAAAAACAATTGGACATAGCAATAGAGTGATACTATTATTATTTGTTTATATTTTGACCCAAAAAAACTCTTTTGTTTGAATATTGTTTTTTGCATTAAGTTAAGCAATGAACTTATGTTATGTTTCATTGGTTTATGATGTATTCATTTGAATGAAACATTTTTTATTTGATCAAAACTTGTGAAGGATAGTATGTGAGGCTATCTGTTGTAATATCGATCTTTAAACTAATATTACCAGTATAACTATAAGTTAAGATTATTCACGTGCAATGCACGTGTGTGCAAACTAATTTATATAAATAGAGAACAATTCTAGCGTAACAGTTTGCTCCCACTCCACCTTAATTAAACGTGGAAGCTACATGCTGAAGCACTTTTTTTTTATGTAGATTCCTCTATATATATAGAACATTTCAAGTTGAGCNTTGTAGTGGGTCTTCTAATGCCAAAAGTAAGGAGTTGTTTTAGGACCAATTAGGAGTATCGATACTTCCGTTGTGCTTGTCTTACGCTTAGGTTGTTTAATTGGAGTAGATGATGTGTTTGGGTTTCAAATGTTTATGCAATTATTTGTAACTTAGTAACATTGTACATCATTTGCTAGCATTGTTGAGGTTTACCAAAGAATGTGATTTGGGTCACAACAAAGTATTTTATTATTGGTGTTTAGATGATATCATTAAATAAATGGGGGTAATACAACACACACCATAAAGAATTGATAAATATTTTTTCTCCCTTTATATGAATCACTCCCAAGTATATTATTAATTGTTCAATAACTAGAGTAATATGATTGTTTATAATCTCAAATTAAAAATTAACATTCTTTTTGCCCATATCTTAGATAAATTTTTAAATAAAAAAAATTCCTATGATTTTTATTTCAATTTATGGTTTAAGTGTTACAAACAAAAAAACAATTGGACATAGCAATAGAGTGATACTATTATTATTTGTTTATATTTTGACCCAAAAAAACTCTTTTGTTTGAATATTGTTTTTTGCATTAAGTTAAGCAATGAACTTATGTTATGTTTCATTGGTTTATGATGTATTCATTTGAATGAAACATTTTTTATTTGATCAAAACTTGTGAAGGATAGTATGTGAGGCTATCTGTTGTAATATCGATCTTTAAACTAATATTACCAGTATAACTATAAGTTAAGATTATTCACGTGCAATGCACGTGTGTGCAAACTAATTTATATAAATAGAGAACAATTCTAGCGTAACAGTTTGCTCCCACTCCACCTTAATTAAACGTGGAAGCTACATGCTGAAGCACTTTTTTTTTATGTAGATTCCTCTATATATATAGAACATTTCAAGTTGAGCTAGACCTTCAAAATAATCTCTTATCTCAGAACTCTAATGAGAAACATAAAACTGTGGGTGTCAGTTTAAAAGGTAATTATTGTTGGTGGTTTAGCTGCGCCATCACCCAAAAATTCTACCTAATCTCAATCGGATAGTCTTGTTTGTGAGGCTCAAAAGATTCTTAGAGTAGCTTGAAAGGAACTCGTTTAACAAACACTATTTCATTTCATACAACAACGTTCCTCAATTTTTTGACTTTTAGTGTTTCTTTTTGCAAAGAAAGGCGATGCATGATCTGTAATGCTTTGAGTGCAAGCATATTGAAGAACTTTGAATGGGATGGACGGAGGAGCTGGTAGGATGTTGAAATCTCATCATCATCATCTTAAAATATGCAAAGGTTTTAAATGCTATTATCTACAGGAATAGGTAGAGTCATCAGTATTCCACAAAGATTTTGGTTGAAATGTGTAATTTCATTAAGGGCTTGACTTGAACTTGATTGTTGTGGGCCCCCATATATGCTCTGTTTCTTAATTGTTCACTACTTGTACCATTTTACTACACTTTCACCTAGCCAGAAGTGGACTAGGTAGCCACAATTTTGTGGGTGGTATGGTGGTTTTCATGATATTTAAACATTCTATATGAAGGCATTCTCCTAACGAAACAACAGATGACCGGCTGCGCATCATGTACCCTACACCTAGTCAAAAACCACCTTACAGTTCATCCATTGATTTCAGAAGCCCTAAATAATTTAGCAAAAAGGCGTTGAAAACACACCAAGGTATTGGTGCATTTGTACGTGCAAGGTTGTAGCTTTGAAGGGCCTTGTAATGAATACGCTGTTGACCAACCGTGGAAGGTGGTAGGACATTCACAATGAATCTCATTCGGGACCACATATGTAGATTAATTGGAGAACCAACATTGGGGATAAATGAACCTATGATCTGGTTCTGATCAGATGATTAATTGCTATAGTACATTACCATAAATTGCATGCAATGGTCACATTGCAATGTCGTCTAAACAAAGGGGTCTTTTGTTGGTCAGAGGGTTACTGGGTAGACATAAACACAGCACAAGTATAAAGATTGGGGAAGGTGAAAGGAACATACCATGTGCCTTCATGTGACCACAAGAGGAGGGGGGGGGGG